GCTCGCGGGGAAGCCAGGAGCAAACACAGCAGAGGCCGGAGGGTCTGGATCCCGCGGGGATGGGGGAACGTGCCGGCACGGCGCGGCTCTCTGGGAGCTCGTCCGGCCAGCGTGGTCTGCGGGCATCGGAGCCGTCGGGGGGGTCTCCTTTAGAGCCAGGTACCGCTAGCGGTTCAGAGCAAACCCCCCCGCCCCCAAAAAAAACCAGACCCAAGAAGCCAAGTTGAAAAAGTATCTGTCTTTTAATCGAAAAGGTGGTTGGTACAAACGGGTTCAAAGGCAGATACGGGGGGGGGGAATAAAATTAGTTTCAGGAGGAGCAGAAGCCAAGAACGAGAACTCGATCCGCAGGCTCCGCCGCAGAGCTCCCGTCTTAAAGTTATCATTCCAGCAGAGCAGCCAAGGAGGATTCTCCTCCGACGCCTCGCAAATCAAAAAAATCCCGGCTACGGGAAAACCGGAGGGATCGATACAGCGGGGTTACAGAGCCCGTCGGCCGAGGACGGCTGGCCGCAAACACGCCTCCGGTCCAACAGCCCCCGCCAATTCCCACTTACAGTGTGCACCGCTAGCTTTCCGGCTGTGGAAACAGGTATAAAACCTACGAGTGTGACAGTACAGGGGTTAAATCCCGCTGGAATTTTTTGAACCGATGGTTGGAAAACCAGAAATACATCGTGTGTTAGCGCTTGCTCCGTTCTAGGGGGAGCAAGCGAAGTTCAGCTGGTTTGGTAAAGGGTGGGAATAGCGTAAACGATCCCGCCCGCAATTAAAATGGAGTTTTCGTGCTGTGCTTTGAGTTTTGTCACCTGCGCCTAAGGAACGTTGTCACCGGCATCGTGAAAATTCCCCAGAAACTTGGGCAGCGATGGCTGAAACACTACCGAGAGCTCGGAAGGTGAGCGTGCTGCCCCCGACCGGGCCGTTCACCTCCTGCTCGCCGGCCGGCGAGCTCCACGCCAGCGAGCGGCGCGGCACGCCTGGGGTTGGGTCGTACGAGGAAAGAAATCGCAGTGAAAACCAAGCCCCCGAAGCACGCCGCCTGCGGACCGTCTCCCTCCGAGGCCGTGAGTGCCGCCGGGCTTTTATTTCGGAGAGCAATTCCCTGCCTGGGACTAGAGGGCACACGAGAAACGCCGAGGAAGGCGATGAATTTTCCTGAGAAAGCCTCGTTAAGGATGAGGGCCGGAGCCCAACCCGCTACCGACCCCGCGCTGGGCAGTCCTGACCCAACTCTCCAAAATAAACCACCCCCCGGGCGGGGAGAAAGCCGCGGTGGCTGCTCCGGAGGGGGAAGGTTGCCAAGCGCCAGCGGCAGCGGGAGCCGGAGGCGGGGCAGAGCCCGGCAGAGCCCGAGCCGGCACTGGCAAAGCCTGCTCCCGAGCCCCAGGCACTGCATCAACTGGGGCCGGGTTCCGAGTCAGCGGGGCGTCCGCAAGCAGAGGTTGTTTGCGACACACCAAACCGCCCCGTACTCGGGCCTTTCAGATCCACAAAAGCATTTTGGTACCCAAAAACACCACCGGGGAGCCGTGCCTTAACCGTGCCAGCCAGCCACGGCTCCCAGATGGTCCGAGAAAAGAAACCCAGGCACTGCATCAACTGGGGCCGGGTTCCGAGTCAGCGGGGCGTCCGCAAGCAGAGGTTGTTTGCGACACACCAAACCGCCCCGTACTCGGGCCTTTCAGATCCACAAAAGCATTTTGGTACCCAAAAACACCACCGGGGAGCCGTGCCTTAACCGTGCCAGCCAGCCACGGCTCCCAGATGGTCCGAGAAAAGAAACCTCGCCAAAGAAACCCCCGCTTTACAGCTTCCGACACCCCATTTTCATGATCGAGACCATCTAAAACCCACCCCGCCACGCGGGATGTAACCTTGACATTCACCTGACGCCCGGGGGAAAGGACGGACGACCTTTTCTAACGGCAGAAGGGAAACGTACCGTTCTACCGTAATCCGCTACGTCAGACTTAGGTCGCCTCCCGGGCGAAGGCTTCTCCCGAAAAGGTAACGGACACTCATTAAAGGCTAACGAGAGGGGCGATGAGAAGGGTTTTGTAGTGAACTTAAAGCAGGGCCAAGCAGGATCGGCAGATAAAAACCTGAAGCGGCGTTCTGGCGGTGACCCCCCTGGCGAAGGCTATCGGCATCCTCTGCAACGCGACACTTTGAGCCGTAAACCAGGGGTTTTTGAGAACGACAAAGAGCGTTTCCGTCAATCGCACGCATCGGGAATAAACTCACAAAGCCATAAATAACCACAAACGTTAAAACTCGTTCCCTTTGCTGGCCACCAAAAATCACACGCCAGGCGAGTAAAAAACACCAACCGTAAGTGACAATGCTCATGCTGAGGTTTCCCCGTCCTTACGTCATCCCGCCCTCGCAGAAGCTGCGCGTCGCGTTCAAGCCCCGCTCCGAATGAGAAGTGTTTTCGAGTGAAAATAAAAATAAATAAATAAAAAAATCCAAATCCGGTCAGATCGTGAACGGCAGCCGCAATCTGACCGCAGAGGTAGACCCCGGCCGTAGTGTCACTGTGTCACACTCTGCCCAGTGTCAGCGGCAGGAGCACCCTTGTCCCGGTTTCGGCAGGGACGGAGTTAATTTCCTTCCTAGTGGCTGGCACAGGGCTGTGTGTTGGGTTTAGGGTGAGAACAATGTTGGTAACGCCCCGATGTTTTAGTTGTTGCTGAGCAGTGCTTACACTAGCCAAGGACTTTTCAGCTCCCCATGCTCTACCGACTGAGAAGGCTGGAGGTGCACAAGAAGCTGGGAGGGGGCACAGCCAAACTGGCCAGAGGGACATTCCATACCATGGGACGTCATG